CACAGTGGGTAATGTAAAGAAGTCTTTTTTTTTTTTTTTTTTATTATTCAGGTTAGGCTTCGGGTATGTGCTTGTAGTTCTCAGGACGCAATCAGTAACTCTTATCGCTGCCTCTCGTACATATTGAATTTAAGTAAGGTGATAATTTATGATCACACCTAAGTACTTAGCCTGCTTGACAGTTGGAACTGGCTTGTTGAAACATTTTAGTTTCTTTTAAAGGTGCATAGAGCGTTTTCTACTTTTAATGAATAGTAAATGTGACTTTTGTGCATTAATGGAAACTTTCATCTGCAGCACCAGTCTTCCATGGGAGAAATAATTTCCTGAAACTTATGAATGGCATATTTAATATTAGCACACTTAATCACTAAAGTGGTGGTCTCTGCATAACATGTTAACATGCAGCTATGCCTGCTAGTGGGGTTTGGGAAGTCTCATAGAAAAGATATAAAATTGGTCCGATGATAGACCCTTAGAGCTCACCTGAAAAGATATTTCTCTCAATGAAGAATGCATACTGCACTGAAACCTTGAACTTTCTATCAGTGATGAAGGGCAGAATAAGAAAAGCAACTTTCTGTCCAAATTGAGAGTGATAAGCTTATAAATCCCTCATTGCCAGATGTGTTTCGAAGGCTTTCGCCATGTCCAGCACAAGTAGAGTGACATTAAACTTGCTGTAAAAAGCTGCATCTGCAAACTTGGTAATGCACACTAGTTGTTTACTCATTGAGAGCTTTTCTTTAAACCCGAATTGTTGGGTTGGAAGTAAATGTAGATAGGCATCATTCCTCACAAAATGACTCGTTTGTCAACTTTTCCCAGGCTTATGGGTCTGCAACCATTTTGTTTCATATGATCATTTTCCAGTTTGGGGATAAGTAACATTCAAGCAATTTTGTAAGAAGAAATTCTGCAAAGAAGGTATCTGTATTTATACCAAAAGCCAAATAATAAAATGAACAGGGAGGTAGCACCATGTGTCTACAGAAATAGTAACAAAATATGAAAAATTAAGTTAATAAAATTAATTAATTTAAAAAAACTGGATTGGAATAAAAGAAACTGACTTTAATTCGTGAGGAATTTATAGAATATTTTGCCAATGTTGTTTGAAATACTATATTAGCCAAACTGTTAAAAATTTCACATCAAGGGACACAAATCTTATGTCCGAATAGAAGAAATAAACAAATCTTTGATAGCTAATTATTGTTGGAAATTTACTCACAGTTTTAGTTTGGGGTCTGCAAAAATTATGCAAAAAATTTCTTCAGTTGATGAATCAGATTTCTTTGAAACTTTTCACATTCAAAAATATTTATCTTGTTTAGTTAATATCTTTAATGCAATCCAGTTCTTCCTAATACTCTAAAATGCTATTAACTTAATTTTTCATGTTTGTTGATATTTTTGTGAACAAATGTTACTACCTCCATGTTCGTTTTACTGTTTGAGTTTATAAATACAGCTTTCTTCTTTGCAGGATTTATTTTCTTCCAGTGATGTGAAACTCCACCTGTTACGCTCGAAATCAATAGAGTCTTGGTTAAAATATGAACTAGGCTGAAGGTTATTACTTTGCGTATTCATGTAACTTTGATGTCTACGAAAAGTGTAGTAGTCTTCACAAGTTTATGAGAACATATTGCAGGTGCCCAAGCAACATATGTTGACTTTGCAGTAATAGAAGTTTTTGAGTCTCCTAAAGCATACTTGATTCTTAGCAAATCTGACAGTTAACCACATTCGAGTACTACCCATTTAGGAGCACTATAGGATTAAAATTGTGTTATTAGGAAGGGATGTGGAAGAGCTTAAAACATAAGATAACTACTAATTTATAAGCTGGGTTTGTTAAAAATGTTTTTCAAGAAGGTTTAATGAACTGATCTAACTATGATATCTTGAAGTAAAATTAAATTAATGTTTTCTCTTATTTAAAAATTTAAGAAGTAATAGAGGAAGACTGTCTTAATGTATATTTTAAGAATTAGGCGATGAACATGAGACATGGTTCTCAGAAGAGTATTTTAATGGTGGAAAATATTATATTCGATCCTCTGAAATATGGAAGTCATTCAAGCTTTCTTGTATATTGTGTATGGTAAGAACTGATATGAAAGGGATGATAATTTAGGCGCTTTCTAAAATATAAAATTCTTTTATGAAACTGTTTGAATTTTTATATTTTCATATTAATTTACAATGAACCATATCTTAAAATATTTTCTATAAATTTTTCTAATAACTGTTTAGCACAAGTATATTGCCAACCATACTCATATAATAAGAGATTCATTTATTTAGAATTATTTTTAGAAATCCAGAAAGATATCTAAAGTAATCTCTTATTTTCCATATGCATGTTAACATGTCTCCATCAATGGTATAACTAGAGGGAGGCAAAGGGGACACTCTGCCCCAGGTAACACTTTTTACTCGAAACATTATTTTGTAGGTATTAATCATATGGATCATCAAGGCAGGTAAAGAATAATAAGATTCTTATTCACCATATAGAATTAAATTGAGAAGAACAATAGTTTTTACTTTAGGTAAAGGATTCAAAGAAATAACAAAAGATTTCAACTGCTATATGCTATTGTTATATCTTTTATATTTAGTCGAAGGTTTTGAATAAAAATAATGAATATCATTATAATCATGGTGACATTAATAAAGAAAAATTCCTCTTCAAGAGAGAAATACTTAAGAATTTTTTCTGTGATTGCTAGAAAATTGAAACAGGAATGTAGGAGAATGCTTATTTTGAATTTTTGCAGTTTATCAGTAATACAATCTCCAGAACAAAATTAATATGATTTCCTGTACAAAGTAAATGTAAACAAGGTAAAACAGAATAAAGTAAATACATTCTCCATCTCAAAGTTCCAAATATTGTAATACTATTTCAAACTTTCCTCACAATTGCTGTTATCAGAAGAGTTTTCGAGGTAAAGTCACTAAAGAGGTTTTTTTTAGAACTGCAAATGTTATTTTACATTTATAAAATTTTCTACATAATAGCCATTGGAGTAATCACTTTGACTTCAACAGTGCCATTGCTGGTTTTGCAAGCAAAAAGTAAACAAAAGAATAATATTGTTTTGAACTGTTGGAATTAAAGTTTTTCTTCAAAAATATACTGAGAATTAAAATTTATTTCTCCATCTGTCATTTTGACGCTAGTTTGGGAAAACTTGCCAATCACCAAAAGAAAATTTTTACAAAATTGCCATTTTAAACTACAACTTTGAATTTAAAACAATGCATATTTTTACATAACAGAAAATGCTTCTGAAGTCATAATCTCTGTACATACCTATATAACTGACATTTTTAGAAGACTGCAGTGATAATCTTAAATTTTTTAAGAGTAGAAATTACATTTGACAGATCTTTTCTTTGAATTGATAACATTAGTGAATAATTTTAGAAACTCATTATTTTTTTGATTATGTATATAGTTCTTAGATTATGTTACAAATTAGTATTATGTTATATTTTTTAGTATTTATAATTAATGTTAATAAAAACGGTGCTAATTCAGCCAGAGCTTGACTTCGATATTTTTCAGTTTTCAAAAAAATTGTCATCTCACAGATTGCTTCATAGCTTCTAATGGAATGAAGTTCAGCCTGTGGCATAGCTGAGGGAAGGGGCGGTCCACCCTTGGTAGAACATTTTTAAGAGTGTTATCTTTTTCACAAATTTAGTCGGATCAACGAGGCAGGTGAAGAATAATCTGATTCAAAATTGCCATACGGAATTAAATTGTGAAGAAAAGAGTTTTTCCATTAGAAAATGTATTCGAAGAAATTCCCACATAATTTCAACAGCTGTATACCATTTTTATTCTGTCAAAACTTTTGAATCCAAATAACGAATATCAACTAAATTATGAGCATGGTGACATTCATAAGGAAGAACTCCTAGTCAAGAAAGAAATATTACAGAGTTTTATTTGCTAGGGGAATTGAAACAAAATTGTGGAAGAGCACTTCGTTTGAATTTCTGCTGTTTATTCTAAAATACAATCACCAGAATGAAGTTCACAATATTTTAATATTATATTTAATTAATATTGTAACAGTCCAAATTTTCTTCCCAATGTTGTGTTGCAAGTTATGAGAAGCATTTTGTAAATAAAAGTCATTTAAGAATTGCAAATAAATTTAAGAAATTGAGAAATATTTAAGAATCGCAATATAAAACGTGTTTATATATATTTTGCAATTAATACTAATTAATGTAATTAAAAAACATTTTAAATAACATTTATAAATTATGTCATATCATTTTTGAATAATATTTAACACATTTAAGTAGTTTTAAGTAAGTAGTGTAAGTAAGTTTGGCTACATGTGTTTGATATCAAAATATGAAATATTATCATGAAGATAATATTCATGTTTAAATTTACATATGTCATCAAATATCAAACTATAAGAACAAGTTACACATTTTTTATAAGCGTCTTTGATTTCTGATCAAATATGGTTAATCCTGGGCGTAAATTACAGTTTGCACAATTTAGAACATTGAAATGAGTAGTGCATAAGAAAAATCTAGCGTTTATTGGATGTATTTTGATAAGTGTTTCAATGTAATATAAAGTTAATGAAAAATTTTTACTAAATTAATAATTCAAATATTAATATGGGATAAATCTGAAAAATGATTCCTTTTTGTTTTTTTGGCATGAGACAAGCTTCCTTCCATGCTTTGTTTGCTATGAATTGAGTTCAGTAAGGACTGATATTTTTGGTGTGTATGATGTAATAATTCAAATTTTAAAGTTAAAATTTTTATTTTATGTTTCTGTATATTCTAGAGATCAAAATTAAGCTATTCCAGAAGAATTATTTTAAATTAATTTATTGAATTTTTTTTGTAATTAGTACTATTTATGCAGATAAAAGAGAATACATTTATAATTTTTGTGTTTCAATTTTGCTTTCTGAAATGTTTATGAATGTACAATTTTATTCTAGACTGAAATGGAGACTGCCATTAGGAATGTTTGAATAAAATTGGAAAAATAAAATGAGTTTATTATGGAATCAAAAAGAAGAGGCCCTGTAACAATCTTTTATTTATTTATCTAGCAGTACTCAAAGTTGTAATTTTATATTCTTCTGACAAATACATTGTGTAAATATGTAAGCTTAAAAATGAACTGTGAGTATGTCATCTTTGTTAGTTTGTATCAAATTTTCAGTCTTTTTTTTTTTTTTTTTAATGCAATTAAGGCTTTTTTCTGTTTTGTATAAACCTCAAGCATATCTTATGTAAATTTTCATGTTAAATGTGCTTTCAGTTCTGTTTAGCAAAATATTAGTATTTCTTTCTTAAAATTGCATCCACTAGAACTGTCAAGTCTAATTCTTTTATTCTTAAATGCTTATGATGTATTGCATGTAGCTCTGTGTATTCATATAATAATAATACTGAAATTAACTTTTAGTTAATGCTTATATAATTAATTTAAGCATACTTAATGCTTAAGATATTTTCAGCTGGTCATATTTATAAAACACTCAGTTTTTAGTTTAAACACTTTTAATACTAAAGATTTGTCAAGTTGTTTGCTTCCTTTTCCTATTTATACTACTCATATCATTACCAAACTGTCTTGGAAATAAGTAGTCTGTCCAGTAAATATGCAAACTTATGTTGCAAACATTGTATTTTATAAAATTAGAGTACTTCAATCTTATTCCCTTCAAAATACTCCCCATTTGTAGCAATATACTTGTCCCACATCCCTGTCCGTTGTTGAAAATATCCCTGGAGGTCTTAAGTAGTCCTTCAGGTACTTTGTCATTTCACGTTTTATCATTTCCATATAATATGACAACCATGATTCATCACCAGAGATGATCCTTTCAAGGAAATCAAAAGTTTTCACCTAGTTTTTTCAGTCAGTGCAGCATTTAATCGTTCTCAGCTTTTTGTCAAGTGTTAGCAACTTTGGGACAGTTTTTGCACACAATTTTCTCTCCATATGCTCTCTTAAAATTGTGTGCCCAGATAATATTCCTCAGTTGATCAGCAATCATTCAGACAGTTAATTGATGGTCAGAATAAACAAGAGATTTCATACATTTGATGATGTCTTCAACACAGGAGGTCAGCAGTCGTTTTGGCCTTGCCTAGTCCTTCGAAGTCTTCATGGCCCTCACTCAAATGCTTGATCCACTTGAAAAGAGCTGTTTTCTTGTATGTGTTATTTGCATAAACAGCCCTCAACACTTCTTGAACTTCCTGAGAGCTTTTTCTAAATTTCACCCAAAATTTGATGTTGATTCGTTGTTCCATCTGTTCATTAATATTCATTATTGACAAGAACAATAAAATCCACCTCTAGCTGGACATTTGCTTTGACGGTCTGGTGGTTACTGTCACTCTAGGAAGTTCCCTACCAACAAAATAGCAAGTGCACATGGCCTAATGTCGACTCAAGGTCACCATGCTACCTCAGTTTACATATCTATCGGACAGACTATGCAATGTTTGTGTAAATCCCAGAAATTAATGTTGAAATAATCGTTTGGCTCCAAACATCGGTAATTTTAATGTGAAGATGTAACGTGTTATAATGCAGAATACTACTACTACACCTATAATTATTGTTCAGAATACGTTATGTACTGTATTTACTCGCATATTTCTCTCCCTCACATATTCCTTTCTAGTTTATCCAGCATATGTTTTAAGAACTTCTGATTTATAATAACAGTGTAAAATTTATGTGCAAGTAGGGAATTATTTTTGTTAAAACTATGATTGAAATTGATAAATCTTTTGAAAAACATAATATAATAATATTAGATAATAATATTAGTGTGTCTCTTGTCCTTTTTAATTTGCTGTGTTTATCTCATTAGAAATGATATATGCCACATATTTTCTCCCTTCTGATTTTCGAGTGGTAAAATTAATAGGAAAATGAGGAAAATATGTGAGTAAATAGGGTATATATATTTGTATTTCATTTTTTAGTTAAAGGAATTGTAATAAAGTTTTAGCTGTTTTAATTTAGAAACCTGGTATGATATATTACTGTACACTATTCAGTAGAAAACTCTGCCCTCCCGTCATTTTGCCTACTTTATGGCAGTGCTAACTTCCATAACTATTATTTCATGAGAACCATTCATGAAATTCTTGTCATCCATAAAATTGGACCCCAGAGAAAGACAATCTGAAATACTAGAATTAATAAACTAGCAAATTTTGCTGAATTTGAAGTCTTAATATATAATAGTTGCACCATTGAGACTTAGCTTTACTCTGTTCACATTCTGAAACATATCAGCTAGTCTGCAACGTTCCTAAATGTGGAAAAATTTTATTTATTTTCTGCTTTTATTTACACGACTGCATATTTGTAGTTTAATAGTTCATGTTTATGACTCTGAAAGTAAGTAATAGTTTGGGGAGAAGCATTTATCATAAACAAATATTTTACAAACTCTGCAATAAAATTTTAAAATATTTCTATCTACTGATAGATTAACAGATGCAACTTAATTCTTCTGAATGAGAAAAAGTTTTATTATCATATAAAAATGTTTTTATATGATATTATTTATTGTTTCTTATATAAATTTTTAAATAAATTCAAGCTGTATTGTATTAAAAACACAATTCTTGATTTATTTTTATTTTTCATCATCAATTCCTTGATTTTAATTTATATCATTTTTGAGAATCAGGAAAATTCAGAAATTCAAACTGTTTTAATATCTGGACTTTTGGATTTCTGTTTCATAAATTATGCTATTTTAAAAATTATTTTTTTTAAAATTTATATTACTTTTCTTGTTGATGAACTGTCCATATTCTATCAACATGCATTGAATAATGGTTATTAAACTTTTTTTCCCTTCCCTCTAAATTTTATTAAGTAGGATGTATGCTTCTCAATTCTGTTCTGCAGTGTGCTTGAAATTATCTAATCAAATTAAAACTCCTAAAGTAAAATGTTACTGTTTTTAACAGCATTATTTGCATGTAAAATGTATATAAATGGCACGTATTTGCTCACTGAAATAAATGATATGATAGTGTTTCGAAAAAATGCTTCTCTAAATTGCTCTCTGTAAAGTTCACAAAAATGCTTCAGAAGACCTTTGCAGACTGGTGGGTATATATATGTAGTTGTCTAGGAACAGATTTGTTTACAAAAATATTATAGTTTTTGTAATTTTATTCATGCTGCTCAGGTATAACCATTTTGTATTTTGTCTGACTTCTGTAAAAAGAGCCTTGTGATTTTTGTCAATCTTTCATTTGATGTATTATTTTTATGTTTTCAGTATTCATTTAGCTTGCTCTCTTTTATTAGAGAATGCATGAGTAATGCCATTTTCTATCATATGATGTAAATTTAGTATGTTATTTTAAAAATGACATTTAAACAACATGTCAACATAGTATTCTGTGACTCATCTTGCATGTTTATCAAGTGTTTGTTCTATCCCATCTTTAGAAAATTCTGGGGTTGGGGGTTCTGGGGGAAAAAGATTGCAAATGTTCAACTGGTATATTTATTTCTGATTCCTTCATAAGAATTGAATTCCCCTCCCAGCAAGAAGCGATTCTATGGAAAGATGATAATGAGGTAAAGAAAATAATCCGTGATATAAAGGAGAATTTCCCACCTGAGTTCCCTAATTTTTTGTTGAATTATCATTGTAGGGTAAGATCTGTTATCATGCTGGAAGAAAAATTCCTTTTCTATTGATCAAAATAGGTCCTTCCCCCCTGTAATGGCTGCTTTTGTCAATCAAGTTGATTTTTTTAAATATCTGGAGGATTGGTTTCTTTATCATTAAGCAGCTGCTAAAAATGATCAGCTCCATGAATGTCCACCAGACATATAGGAGAACCTTCTTTCTGTAAATATTGGGCTTTAGGATTTTTCTGCAGAAGAAAGCCGGTTTGTTTCCATCACTGAATCGGCAAAATAGTTACCCTGCCCTCCCCAGTTGAAAATACTTAGTTAATATAGTAATATTATATATGAATAAAATTATAACATTACTATAAAAAGTAAAAAAAATCGACTTCTTCCAGCTGATTTTCTTTACGAAGAAAGAAACTTGCTAGCTCTACTGATAATGTACAATTTCCAAAATTTTACTTTACCCTGATAATGTTTGCAGTACATTAAATCTTGTATGATAGAGAAAGGAATGTATCTTTTTAAAAATTTATATGGGCTAATGAAATTAAAGTTTAGCTGGCTTAGAGCAGATTTTCTACTTTGGGAATTTATTCACTCAAAATTATAAGAAAGGTTATTGTGCGTAATAGCAAAAAATTCAGTTTTATTCCATTCATTTTAAATTAAAATATTATTTTGATATATATGTTATCGGTATGAATTGAAATTCTCTTTCAGAGTCTGAATTTCCAGATGTGAAAACAGATCTCCTAGCACTTAACTTATATGTATACATTACTAAAAAAAATTGTTGCAGGCATAGAAATAAGGCTAATTAAATTATAAAGAAAATGAAAATATTTAAATGAGTAATATGTTAGTGCTGCATGTGAATAAGTTCAAAAACTTGTTTTACCTATTCCTTCCAGTGTAGTGGAAGAAACAAGTTTTTTCCTGTGGGTTTTTCCATTCTGGAAGAATTTGCCTACCCTACTTCTAATGTATTTTTAAGCTTAAAATTGCGACTATGAAATCTGTTGAACCATGATTGGCACTTGCAAGAATCTAGACAAATTGCATTGATATTCATAATTGTAGTAGTCAATTAAAATGAAAGTATATATAATGCATAAGCTTCTGGTTGTTTATTTTTGATTTTATAAAAAATATTTAGTATACTCTCAAAAATTCTCAGCTGAAGGTACAGTGTGTGCAGACTTTAATTACTAATACTGGAATGAGTTTAATGCTATACCAAGGCTAAGAAGTATACCAAAAAGCATATGCCTACAAATGACATTATTTGTGGGTATATAGTATTTTTTTTTTTTTGTTTGTTTGTTTGTTTGTTTTCCAGATAGATGTATGTGTGTTTAATTGTTTATGGTTAGTTTATGTAAATAAAATAATTTTTTCCTTTTATATATTAATGTTAAGCATATACTTAATAGTGTTCGAGCAAAAATCATTTTATTTCTTTCTTGTCATATTGACAAGCAGTCCTTTTTTAGGCCAGTCTACTATTCAATCTTTCAAAAAAATATTTTACTCTTGATGCCAGTTATTGCCAATTTTAAGGTAATCTGCTGCTTACATTTTCACTAAAATATATTTACATCACTTTATATTAAGCATGTTCTAAAGTTTTCAGAAAAAGAAATATAGTGAATCTATCTAGTCAAAAATTAGTATTATTATTAACTGAATGGGAGGTATTCAAACTATTTGATTCTCAAATGTAATAATTTTTAATTACTTACAGAAGAAACAATCGGTTACATGTTGCTGAAAGTCTAATGCAGTGCAATTTATTTGATATCTAAGTTATCTAGACTGCTGTATTTTGTTAATAATGGTGATGACTTTGAAGTGATTTTATGTTAAGAACTTTAATTGAAATTATGTTAAGCTTATGTAAACAAGGTACTGAGTTAGAGGTATTATTAATGTTATATAAATTGATCATCTTATATGTATTACTGTATTGAATTTTTTCCTTAAACAAAGAATTCTATTAGATTTTTCTAATCCTTAACACACTAACAGCCTCTAAATGAGTCCGGTTTTCTTTCCTAGCATGATTACATTTGCAAATAAATGTAAAGTATGAAAATATTGCTTCTTGGAAAATAGAGACCAATACATCAAATTGTTTTTTAAAATCTCTAGAGAGATTTCTTCTATCACCGCTGTATAATTTTTTTTAAAGCTGAGATAATTAATTTTCTGTACGCATTTAAAAATTTATCATTAACTAAAGCAGTATTGAGAAGGTGAATGTAATGGTAATTAAGGCTATGAGTCTAATTTTATTGTTTCTAAAAGCAGAATTGTTTAACAGTTATGTTTTAATTTTTTAATATAATGTAACTTCAAAACAGTAATTTATTTTGTGTTACAGTTTTTAATTATTATTTAATTTTTTTTAATCTTATACATTTTTATAGCAGATCAAAATTCTTGAATCAGTATTTCCAGAATTCATTCATGATAGGATAAAAATTAACTCTTAGTGCTGTAAAAGACCAGAAATCTACAGAGCTTTAGGTTAAAAGCTGTGCTGATTTTAAGAGTTTTTCAAATTTTAAGGCATAATAAGAAAAACCACTTAAGCTAAAAAAGTTAAATAAAGTAATTTGTTTGTAGAACAAAACAGGAGGCATTCATAAGAATATAAAAACAAAAAGCATATTAAGTTATGTGTAAAATATTTTTTACTTTTTCAAAAAATTTTTAGTGGTTTGTTTTAAAATGTAGAATTTGAATGGTTATTTATATTTGGTGGGGGGCAGTTTTTGTTTGTATGTAATTATTATTTATTGATTATTCTAAAAATTTCAAATACTTTTTTCCTGACACCAAATCTTTATCAGATGTCAAATTATTTATTGCTTTCTATATCATCAACAGAGTCCGCCCCTCCACAGGCTTGTCAGCAGTGTCATCATCAGTTGTTTGAAATTAATCTTTTAAATTCATTAAAAATTGTCATTCAGATCTTTGCATTGTTGTCTTAAAACATTTGTTGCTTTAGATGTGCAGTTATAATTTTTTTAATTTGGGAGCAGCTATAGCTTTAGCTAAGCCAAAAAAATTCACTAATATCATACTTAGTGATGCATTTAAAATGTCTTGAATGAAAAATTAAACACTTAAATATTTTTTGTAATATGCAGTTATTTGAGGTCTAATTTATTTGATAAATGTGATAGTTAAGAATATGTCATCGTATTCATTTTTGGCTTTTAAAGAGAGAAATGTGTTTGATTATTATATTTTATTGTTTAGTGGTAAAAAAAGGGCTTCAGTAAAAGATTTACATGTTTAGATTTATATAAAAGTATCATAATTGTAGATTGACTCTTAAAAAGCACATGCTGCATTTTAATACACAGCATTTTAGATCTGTGAATGATTTTATGTTTGTATTTTTGATCTGTATATCATTTGCATTAGTTTGTGAAGAAAGTTAAATATTATTGGTAGAGTTTAATTCCATTTTTTAGTACAACCAGGTTGGTTTATAATTGAGAAACTAATTTATTAAGTTTATATATTTAATTATTATTAAAACTTTTAACTAATGTATTTTTTTAATATGAAGTTCTCAATTTCTTGCGACTCTTATTATTATATAAAAGTTATTTTTAGAGCAGAGTTCTAATTAATTTGGGAACTGATTTATGATTCAAATAAAAAAGATGTATTCATAGTGTAAAAATCTTGTTATTCGCTAATTTAGTGAGCTTAGATTTGCATCTGTTTTAAATGAATAATACTGTTACTAAAAACATTTTTAAGAAAATTTTAATATCTTCAAATTAATAGTGTATTTTAGATATGTTTCTAAAAAAACTATTTGAAACCTGCCATGTACATAAGCTCTTGTAAAAGTTTTATACTGTAAATTCATATATTTCTCTCCCCTTTCTGCCTTATTGTTCTTTTTTGTGTTTCTCCTGAGAAGCATAGGAAAGGCAATTTTATATCTGTCCCAACTCTTATCTGTAGATTATGGGGAAAAAATCATTCATCAGCACTTGATAGAATATTTATGAATGATTATTGGAAATTTATATATATTATCTCTGTACATGCATATATAAAAATATGATTGAATTTTGTGCAAGGTGAAAAATATATTCAATCTGTGATGTATAATAGCTGATATCTTGCAATATAAGAGTTCTCTTATGGTAATTGTTTGATGTTTATAAATCTTTTCAAATAACATTTCTGTTAAATACTTTGTGGAAGGAGGAGTATTTCAAGTAGTGTTTTCCCACTTTAATGTGCTTATTACACGTCATGTTGTGCTTCTAATAATACATTATCCATGACTTATATTTTCTCTTTTGTAATTTAAAATCAAATTACTAGTACATTTTTATAAAATTGATTTTACATGTACTGTGCATTTTTTTTATTACAGAAGTATGAACAATCGTATCTTTGTTTTGTTATTTTTTTGTAAGAAACAAAAATATGTAAAGAAAGCATTTCCTTTTAAAACTGCAAGTAGCCATTATCAAAAATAATGCTGAAATCTACAGTATTAAACAAATATATTGAATATTGTTTATCTCCATTTGAATTTGATTACAGTTATGATACTATTTATGAAATGAGAATTTGTATGAATGCAGAATCTGTGTTACTATAATACTGTGCTAATCTTCTGGCTGATACTGTAGAATGTTAGCAATACAAGTAACAAAATAGCACAGCAATTACAGCTGCTATTTTTAAACAGAAAAACAGGTGTCCAATATTTATAGCATGTTCACTTCTAAAAGAATTAGAAAATGCATATTTCTTTGAAAATCTTTGGAAAGTTATTTTACCTATTTTCTAGCTTCTTGACATTTACCTATTTATTACCTTTCTCATGAAGATGTTATGATGTTAGTATGGCAATAATCCTATTAAACACTAGGATTGTTTAAATAAAATAAAGTATGTGTGCATAATACCCGCTATTTTATTTCATAACAAACATTTCTTAAAAAAATATATTTTAAAATGAATCATTTCGTGTTTGATTACTCATTTAATTAATATTTTATTAAAATTAGGTAACATTCAACCTTAAATAGTTGGATTGAAAAACTGTGACTTTTTAAAGATCCTCCTAAATTTCACAAAGTGCATAGTTTTTGTATAAAACATACCAATCAAAGGTAGAATGGTACCTATTCTTGCCCTTCCATATGGATTTTTATCTCCCTCCCTATCTTTAATGTTTAGACTTTCACTGATAATTTAATTCCTGTTATTTTTTAGGAAATATTTTAGCTTTTTGTTTAGTTTATTATAGTAAATTATGCATTTGCATCTAATTTAACATTTATTCATAATTGTATTTTTACTAGGACTAAATGTAGTTAAAATTTTAAATGATTCCTTTTATATCTTTATTGGCATATTAAATGTTTGGGTTTTTAATGAGTTAAAGATGAAATTTGTGGATTATTATATTATGGAACATTTACTTATCCTCTTGCACAAAGTTTGAGAGCACTGTTATTTAATTCTTTCTCTAATGACTTACATATTCTAGTTAAAATAGGTTTAACTTTGTCAAAATAAGCAGTTTTGAAAAAAGTAATCTGAGTGAGTAATCTCAAAAATGTAACAGATAGTGTACAAGTATATATATTTTGGAAATATTTTAAATTGTTTTGATGAGTTATGAGATTAATTACTTGACTTTTTTTCTTGTAATATTTTGAAGTATTTATTATGTCATGTTTATATTTGTCTAAATATGGTTCAGATTTCAGATAGTTTGTGTATTACAGAGAAATAATATATATAAATAAAAATTAAAGTTAATGAAGAAAACAATGCATGTTGCTAGCCACCATTTAAATAAACTTTAGTGTAGATAAAAAAAGGTCAGAAAGAATAAATTTTGCCCTTTTCCATGAAATGATGCATGATAAATAATATCTTACTATTAATATATATATTTTTTCATTTTACAGTTTTTTCAGTTCACCAGATTGCATTTAAGTAATGTGTTTGTTTTTGGAAGAATTACAAATATTCTGAGCAAATGACATTTAGTTATGTTTTTCATTGCATTCATTTTGTCTTAAAGTATTTCATAATCTTTTTAACTCTTTGAATCTAGGAGTTCAATTTTTAAACTTATTTTCTGTACTTGACAAAAATATTAGCATATTTTAAGTGTAGCCATTTTTCAAATGAATTTGAGTACAATAGATTCATTAAAGTTCTAATTGCATTATTATATACACCATATCTTTATTTGAGAGCATGAGAATAAATTGGATATGTCGTTATATATTTCCTATAAATTAACACGTTTTAACAAGGTATTCGAGCTTTCTAGATAAGACCAAAGTAATTGTGTTGCTGATACTATCAACCATATTTATTTGAAAGACAAATTGTTACATTTACCAGTTCAACATATTTTTGCCAGGTGTAAAAGAGGTACAAAATATTTCATAAAGATTATTTTATTTTGACAGTACAAAAGTGAGAGACTTCTGTATTTTTCCTCCATCTAAGGCATGCTTAATTGCCAGTTTATAAAATTAAATATGATGGGCCATTTTATAATCATGTTTTACATTGTAGCTTGATGAGACATATTTGCTGTAATTGTTATATGTAAAATAATGATTAGGAATTAAAATTTGTGTAGCCATAATTCGTTACAAATGAAAATTGTTAAGAGGCATGTTATGGGGGAATATAATAGCTCTATAATCAGACTTTTGTTCCTTCACTTTACGAAGCTTTTTTTAATTTAGTCATGTTTTCTGAATATCGGTATTTTTTCTTTCATTATTCAAGAGAAAAAAAGTATTTATAAAAATTAAACATTTTGTTTCTCTCTCTCTCTCTTTTTTTTTTTTTTTTTTTTCCCCTTTTTCAATGTATAGTTGTCATTTGAAATCTTAAGTACTCTAAAATTTTTCTAGAGTGTTTCAAAAAATTCTAGTGTTTCAAAACCATAAGTTTTTGTAAAAATTTCATTTATAAATGTTTTATTTGTTGTTGTAAATTTCATATTCAGTTTAAATGGTTTCATTTTTTAAATATTCATTTTCTTGCTTTATATATTTTGTATTATTAGTTTGCTTAGACTTGAGAGAGTCAATTCAACTAGATTTTGTGCAATTTGCTACGCATTTATTTTTTGTTTTATATGCGTTATGTATAGTTCATTTAGTTACGCTGTATTTGCTATAGATTTTATTATGCTATATGTATTTGTGTGTCAAGCAAAACAAGCCAAAAGAAAATTTTTCCCCCAACATATTTTTGTTTAAAAATGATTTTTCATTTTTATGAAAATGATTAAAAATGATTTTTCATTTTTATGAAAATGATTAAAAATGATTTTTCATTTTTTCTTGGTCAGTAGCAGAACAATCACATAGTTCTAGTGATTTAATCTCTTTCTAGATTACGTAGTATCAAGATGTGTATTTTTAAAAATTGTTCTTAAATTTCTTCCAAATAATATGGAATAATATATATACTCATTTTTTATTGAGTCTACCAGTTTTATTAAGCTTTATAAAACTAATTGTGCATATTATATTTATGAAAGTGAAAGAATCATATGCTCAATCTTTTACGTTCCCCAGTTGTTTGATTGGCACCAGTCATTCCAGTTCATGCGTGTATTGTATGGATGCTGTTTCCTGTAGTATTGTTACATTTTGATGTGAACATAAATTATTTATTGAAATAAATGTTCTCGTTACCCACATAGTAGTATTTATTATATAAGAGTTTATTCATATTTACATGCTAATATTTACATTACATTCATATTTACATGCTACATTACAGTAAGATCTTATTAATGTAGACCATATGAACTGGGGCCCACCAGCGGTCGAGCGGTAAAGTCACTGAACACTGGTAGTTCAGTCCGAGGTTCGAATCCCGCAAACGGGCTGGCTGCATGGGCGTTTTCGTGGTTTTCCCCATGTGTATACAAGCTAGTGTCCCTTAGAAAGTCCTCCACGAAGGCATCCCTCCCCTTAGGCAGATAGCCCTAGTCTGCTTTGCCATAATTAAATGCACATGCACACCATATGAACTGGTTAATGCATTTTTCTCCATATTGGTTCTTTCCGGAGAAACTGTCTCTGATAACCTTATCAGTTTTATTAACTGGCAGAATTGTCTATCAAATTCTGTTAAAAATAAGCCTCTTTTAGGTTAAAGCTATGACTAGTATATTTTTTATCAATAAAAATAATAATTGTTAGCATTGTGTTTTTTACAGATCTCCATTTGGAAATATAATTACTACCAACTATTTTCATGCAGTTGTGTAATGTGTAAAGCAATATTCAGCATTGTATTTTTGGCTTTGATTTGTTACATTCATATTACACAATGCATATTTTCTTTACTTTTCTTCATAAGACCTAAGAAATCACAAATGCATAAAATGAATTTTCAGTTATCGGAGGGGGGAACAGTGTACTTAAAGCTACCAGAGTTTAATTAAATTCAAGTAAACATTTCACAATGCAATGTGTCACCAGTAAACAAACATGAGATCACGGCAGGCAGTAAATTAATTCAGACAACTACCAAAATAATACTTTTGTTAAACATCGAGATGCGAGTTTAATTTGTTCCAGCATTGAGTTCGTATAGCGAATTTCTCGTATATAGAAACAAACTTCCCCCATTGAAAATAATGGAAATCCAGTTAATCTGTTCCACACCTCCAAAAATATCAACATAAAAATTAATTTTTCTAATAAATAATACTATTAAATAATATAATTGTAGTTTACCTTATGATAGCTTCCGACAAATGATAGTTTCCAATGCCGACCTTTTAACTGCTTCTCATTAATCCACATCAATGTCTAGAAATTTTGGACGGTGCTTGGAAATAACGGTAACTCCTTTGGCCACATCAAGTTTCTTAATTTCTTCCAGCTTCTTCAAAATCGTGCAGATCGTCGATGTCAAAAGGTCGTAAGTCTTTGCCAATTAATTGTTCCTTGCTACTCAAGTGCATTATAGATGTTATGTTCAAACACTTGTAAATCTTTTGTCATTGTAATATATTTAACCGGCTGAAAAGTGACGAATACCTCAAAGAATTAAGGTGTGTTTGCAACATTTAATGCTTAAGCGTACTCCATCATAGCTGAACAAACCATATACAGTAGCTTCAATTCAGTTTATTTTGAAATTTCTATGATTTACGACGTAACATATCTTAGGTTTTTCTATTCTTTTGAGCAGCCCTAATTGTCGCCTAGTATTAATGAAGTTCTTACTGTTACACTGTAAAAATTACAACATTGAGCTGTTACTTCTTTAAAAAAAGTTGAATAAAATATACAAATGAAATTGAAAGCAATATATCCTTGAGGAGTGAAAGTTTTTCATTTATGCTATTGTTTGCTTGTCGATTGGCTGCTCTTAGATTTTTGATTCACTGGAGAGGTTACTTTGCCAGAATGTTGTGTTGTATTTATACCATCTGGGAGTGCAATGTTGTAACAGATCCGTCAATACATGAGGGGTGTTCAAATGAAAAGGTACCCAACGACTCAGTAGGTATAATTCAAGTCTTTAATAAGTCTTAGTAGAAGTAATCATCAGAGGCCTGAGCACAACTATCCCGCTGTTTTCACGAGCCGAAGGATTCTCTGTTCCCAGAATTCTTGTGACTGTGACAGAAGCCAATCCTTCACTGTGTCCTTCAGTTTGTCATCCGAGTTGAAGTACTTCCCTTTGAGATGTTTTCTTTGCAGAACCAAACAGATGGCAGTCACAGAGTGACATGTCCGGACTGTAGGGCGGATTCTCAAGCTGCTCCCACTTGAACTTGGCCATTACACTTGGAGACATGTGGATGCGCATTATTATGCAGCAGCATCACTATCTTTGTGAGCAGTCCACATCGTTAGCTGTTGATGGACTTGCACAGGCTACGGAGTGTTTCACAGTACACGTCACTGTTAATAGTTTTCCTATGCTCGAAAAATTCGATGCGTATTGGACATCGAAAAAGATAGTGAGCATAATCTTGCCTGCTGAGAGCACAGCTTTAAATTTTTTAGGAGGAGGTGATTACACATGCTTCCATTGCATGCTGTCATACTTAATCTCTGGCTCAAAGCAGTGAACGCTTCCCTCCAGGAAAGCGAGGTCTTCATGATACCGGAACAGGTGTTGCAGTGCATTTTATGGTTCGCTGAGCTTCTTCGGAATCCATTGTGCATACACCGGTAACCCAAAATGCCATGCACAATTGTCTACACTGTTCCAACGCTGGCCCCCATCACTGCCAACATTCTCATTGTGATATGCCGATCGTTTCTCACCGAGCCGTTCACCTTGTCGATGAGTTTTGCTGTGATTACTGTGTTTGCCTGGCCTGATCCCGGGTGATCACTCAACACTGCCGGCCTTTACGAAAATGAGCACTCCACTTTATCACAGCACACAGTCTTCCCCGTATACTGCCATCGTCCGGTAAATGCATATTGACCAGTTTAACCCCTTCCGCAGTCAGAAATCTGATAACACATTGCTGCTCCTCAGTCGTTGAATTTTGCAATGTGAATGCCATGATGTTCTCAACGTACTGTCTCGTTAACTGGATGGAACACGTAACTGCCTGCTTCTCTCCTACGTCATGTGTGTGCACCTTCGCATGTGCACAACCTCACTGGATACTACGTTCGCGTCCTTAGATGCCTCACTACGTTATCTCAAAGCTGCATATTTAAATTTCAACTGGATTGGTTGTTACGACGTTTCGTGCATTTTCAGCACCCCTAATATTAATCCTCAGAAAATCGGAAAGTATAGAGAATTGGCAAAGAATCCACATCTACAGAAAATTATCACAGTGAGATGACGAAGCCTGGTTTGCTCAATTGCATTTATTGCAAATAGTTTCGTAGTTTTCGTAGTGTTAGACAATCCTCTGAAAACTGCTTTAATGGGTCGAGCATAGTTCGCATTAGTCACATAATGATTGATCTTTTATTCTTGAAATAGAGCACTAAGCATTCTGTGATCTTCAGCTGTTCGTGGTAGAATTTTTAGCAGCTCACCATTAACTTTTCCGAGAAATTTAAACTCAGTCATTAAAGCCAAATTTTTGAGAAATTCTTCATGTTTAAATTTGCCCGGGTTTACCATTATGGGTGGGACAGTCTGAGACTGGGTATTTGTCGGCTGCTGCTGCATTGCCTGTTGACTGGGGGTATCATTACTAGCGATTTCAGTATTATCATCATTTAACACATTAAATTTATTATTACATTCTGCATTCAGAGGATACTTTTTCTAATTTTTGCAGTTTAGCAGTTTTAGTTGGTAATTTAAAACCGTCATCATCAATTTTCTTATGAATTACTATTAATTTTACGTTTTCACCTTAACATCACTATTTTTCTCTCTTAAGAGTAAGAACATTTTGGGAGCCAATGCCTGAATTACAAGGAAGATTACACTTACCTTTTATATTTGCAGCCTGGGCCTGGAGCATTTGTAGAGCTTTCTAAAGTGGTTCCGTAGTCGTATCCGCATCCGTGACCGGTCGTAACTTCTGGCACTCAGTAATCGTAGTCTTGATCGCAGCAATCTTGACTTCCAAATCGTTGAGAAGATTAATCCAGTAGTCATTATCGTTTGTATCCAAAATATCCGCGTGCGGTAACCCAACACAGCTTTCCCTGATAGAAGGCGACTCCGCAAGGGCGCTAACATCCATCGAGAGATTCACATCGTCGTTCGCTTCACTCGTCGCAGTCGGAGCGCTCATGATGAGCAACCTACTCTCCCGAGGATCAAGGACCGAATGTGCGAATATTGAACTGCTGATTGTTTTCGGTATTAATATACAAAAATCAAGGTTTGTTAAATACAGAAATGAAAGATGATATTTCAGACACGAATGAATTAGAAAATGACATACGTTGACTGAAAAACAGAAGAGCTCAATTTGTTAAACGCATGTAAACAGATACCTTCGAAAAATATGAGAAATTAAAGTGCAAATTCTATGCTTTCTAACTCGACAATATTCACGATTGTAGGGAAATACTCCCCCTTTAGTAGCAAAGTCACTAAAGAATAGCCTGAGATAAGCAGCGAAATTTCAACTAAAATGTCAATGCAAATACTGATAACCTGTTCTCGTGTAGCGTAAAAGTCAATATTTCGGAAATGGCATATGGCAAAAAAGAAATGCTAATTGTTTTGTACCTCAAATGGCTCCAAAAGTCTGAAATTAAGTTTCCATAAATTTTGGAATCTAAAGGCTTTAAGCGTCTTTGTTAGCTGAAGTTAGAGCAATGCTCTCAAACTCAAATTGAATGGGAGCTGAATGCAAGATATAAAAACAACTAAAAGATCAAAAAATAAATAAATAAATAAATAAAAAATATATATTTATATATTAATAAAATTAAAAATATCTTAAATAAATTTTCAATTTCGCTTGCTAAGAATTTATCAAAGCATACATAAACCATTTGCAAAGGAAACAATTCAATTTTATACTCATTTTCTATCGAAAATTTGTTACTTGCAAGACATTTTTGTTGTTTACGCTTTGTTATTCAAATATATTGAATCTTAGCATTAAATTTTTAGATTGACATTTATTTAAAATATTCTAACATACTTAATTAATAAACAAATTATGAATCTTCCCCGTGAGACAATTTGAGAATAAATAATGACAACCTGATCTCTTTCTCTTATTTGTTAA